TGAACAACTGAAAAAATGCCCTGGCTCCTTCTTCTTCTAACAAAATCTACAGTTGGTAAGCAGGCTAGATTTCCATCAGCAGAGTAGGCGTTTAGGGGTATAAATATGGCCTGGCGCAACAACGCAGGTATTAAGGCTGGTGTGAAGTTTGTATCGCTAATGATAGAGAACAGATAACAGACCGTGTCAAAGACGGTTAAAAAGCTTTCAGACAATCCATCCAGTCATTCAAAAAAATTTCCTAATAAGTCTGCGATATTGAAGTGCCCTTAACTGTAGGTTTGTGCAGTTCCATCCTGCGTCATTATCAAAATTAGTGTTTCTTTCAAACAAGTAACCGTGCTGCAGAGAGATTCGTGCTTTTCTTTTCAGCAACTTCTCAGTTGTTGAGTTCTTCTCACGACATTCGCGATTTTCGTCAGCGACCACCCACTCTTGCTGCACACACGAATTTACCGACCACACTCAGACCGTCTTGGGTCGCGTCTGTGACATTAACTAACTTGCGACGAAGGCGGAACACCTGTTGCCTGACAGGTTCTGGCTGTCGCAGCAAAGGAGAGCTTCCTCAAAATAAGAATTTTTAAAGATGTGTGTCCGTAATCCAGGTTGTCTAATCCACCTGCTGCTCTTTCACACACGTGTCACTGTGTTTCCTCCACCTGACTCTCTCCCTCCCTTTTATTTTCTTCCCTCACCAGTTCTTCCTGTTTTCTTTTTCGCTGTTTAGAGCACCTGTCGTAACAATAGAAACCTGCTCTACCTGCTTTTCGCAAGTAACCCAGCCCAGCATCATTGTTGGATCCTGGGAAATGGAGTCTGTTGACCACCTACACACACAATATGTCTGCTGAAAATCAGAGAATATTACATTATTGAAACTAAGCATATTTCTTTAAGTATTATACTTGAACTCAAAGCTATTTACATTTTAGGTGCATAGGTTTTTCATATTTATATCCTGTTCATAGCCTGTACATAGCTTGTACTCACTACAGCCTGTACATACTTATAGTTATAGAATATTCACAACATACTTCATACTCGTGTACATTATAACATACCATAATAGACCCATTTCTGTAATATACTCACATATCTATATTATTGCTAATATATATTGTAATATATCTATATCACTAAAGCACTTCTGGATGGATGCAAACTGCATTTCGTTGCCCTGTACCTGTGCATGTGCAATGACAATAAAGTTGAATTCTATTCTAATTCTATTCTATTCTTTACAGTTATTTATTCTGTAAGTGTGAAAGCAAACATGCACATAAGACTTTTAAAATTTTGCATATTAGAACATAGTAAAAATTTCGGCCTTACTAGTTTCTAAAACATTTTTAGGAAAAACTAAACAAAAATCAAAGAAATGTGTGAAAAACAGAGAAAATTCAATTATTCAGTAGCTTGAAGCACCAACTTTAGTAGCTATTACTGTGACATCGTCAGCCTTTGTCCCAATTCTTTTTACTGTATAAGTTTCAGTTCGCTAATTTATGCACAGCTCTCTTAAGGTCTTGCCTTAAGAGAGGTTGAGGTAGAAGTTTTGACTTCGACTGGGACATTGCAGCACCCTTTTCAGCCATTCTGTTGTAGATTTGATGCTGTGCTTGGAATCATCAAATCAAATCAATTTATTTATATAGCACTTTTCACAGGATAAAAACCACAAAGTGCTTCACAGTAATATAAAACAGAAATACATAAAATACATTAATAAACAAACATACATTAATATAATATTTAGATTATTATAGTATAAATAATGTTATTATTAATAAGGTTTAAGTTATTAATATTGGTGGAATTAATATTATATTTATATATATATATTAGATATTATTTATATTATATTATAATATCGAATTTTATTTTTATATTATTTTATGATTTATATTAATGAATTTAATAATATTTTTATTATATGAAATTAATTTATATTAAAAATTTGATGTTTTTTTATCATAGTGATTATTATATATTTATATAATTATATTTTAATATTTAAATTTGATTTATTTTATTATTTATTTATTTATTAAATATATATTATATTATATTATTAATTTTTATAATAAATGATAATAAATTTGTTTATAAATATCTGAATATTAATTAATTATTTTATTTATTATTTATGCTATTATTTCTTAATATTTAATTTTATTTATTTAATATGAATTTATTTTATTTGTTGTTATATTTTAAATCATAATATCACTAATTTTTTTTATCTCTACATTTATTTGAAAATTCTTTCTAATGAAGTATATATTTATATTAAATATATTGTATTTTATATTATTTGAGTTATTAATCTATATTTTATTTATCAATCATTTAATTTTTATTATATTTGTATTATATTGATTATTATTTTGAATTTGTTTTTTCATTCAATTATGTGGAATTCTATGTATTTAAAAATCATATGTATTAATTATTGTGTATTTAAATGTTTATGTTTATAATTTGTTTTTAATATGAATATATAATAGATCAAATTCTTTTATTATAATCATTATATATATATATAATAATATTAATATAAAATTATTTTTGATATAATGTTATATTATTTTAATTTTTTTTATGATATAATCATTATATCAATAATATATTTTTACATATAATATTTTAATATATTATTTGAATATTTATTTTTGATATTATATTATTTATTATGCTATTATGAATATATATGGTATAATTATAAATGATTAGTATATTTTATTACATATAATATTTATATATATTTAATATTAATTATATTTTTATATAAATTATAAATAGTTATTAGATTTTTTTGTCTATTTTATATATTGTTATTTGATGATTTAATTATATAATTATAATTATAGTTTTCAAATATATATGCATTTTTTATATATTTTAGTAATTTTTAATTATTAATTTATAATTATTAATATATATTTTATTTATTATTATTATATTTATGTACTTATTAATTATAATGTATGTATATAATTGTTATATACTGCCTTTAACCGCGGTTAAGCTAAGCATTACTCCCGGATTGCAATATTTCCGAATGCACCTGAAAGCGGCACAGACCCCTCATCCAGCACATCACAGTGACGTCCTGTGCGGATACAGCAGACAGATGCCCTGACTGCTACGGTCCCAGGTCTACATCCGTAACGTTTTCTCCATGTAAAAGGGCGTTTTAAAGCCCGGGGGAGCAGCAGCAGAATGCAGCGGAGCGCGGTGGTCGTGGTGGCGGATAAAACGAGCTTGAAAAGGCCGTTTATTTTTGCAAATTCAGTCCATATGGTAGGAATTTTAAATCAATGCATTTAAAGCCCAGGGGCCTGTTTGATATCTTTTTATAAGGTTAAGTAGTTCATTTGTTGTCGTGTTCCCACTCAGATCAATTAATCTAAACCAAACAATGTTGTTTTGTCTGTATACCACGCGTATCGTATGTATGGTTCTTCCAATGTGTTTTTAAGGTTATAGACTAAGAAGTCATCAGAAATGGGGGTG